CACTATTACACCCACCCCCACCCCGTGCTCTGCCCCCACTCCTAACCCCACCACTACCTCTAACCTTGACAGCAGTAGGGTTGAGTGCATTAGAGACCCGCGCTGCCTCTACTGGGCAGAAGTCCATAGATAACAGCTATAACATCGAGCCTGTCAGCAACACCTAAGATTTTTTTAAAGATAATTTTAGCAATTTTTTTAATTTTTTCGGTTGAATATAAAACTAACAAATCGTTCTTTTACGATTCTACCCCCCAACCTAGACTATTCATGTCATTCAAGATATCATTTAGAGCAAGTACGACTCAGTATACTTGCATGGAAGGAGATCCTAATGGCCATTTGAGATCTTTGGTTTCAGGAGTTTATGGTAAGTATTGTTCACAAATAACTTAATTTGTTTTTATTTATTTATCAATCAAACATAATCTTTGTAATATGTGCTAAAATAATTCTTCTGATGCCTTGAGCGCGAGGTATGCATCTGATAAAACTTCGAGCTCAAGGGCAGCAATCAACTTTGGGACATTTTTGGCAATATCTAGAAATTGAGACAACATCCTCTGTGGCTCGGAGAGGATGCTTTTGTCATAATTCTTAGAATCTGGGATTCTCTGGACTACGAGAAGAAGAGGGAGCATGCAAAGCAGAACATGTAATTGAATTGTGGAGGCATGTGACCCTCTAAGTACACTGGTGCGGCACTCCCACATACAAAATACAAGTGGAGGCTCATAAGGTTTCATTTATTATATAAGGTTTTCTATAGTTTTAACATGTATTTTAATAATTTCCTTTTATGAATAGACTATAGAGATTGGACGAGAGTCCTCCGCCGACAATGTACATGAGCACACCCACAAGAGGCAGTCTGATTAGTCTTGGATCAACGACATATCCCGTTCGACCTAGGTAACTGACGTGCTAATATATGTTAGTTAGCTATAACTGAATGTAACTACTTTTATTTGCATGAGAGAGCAGCCAAAGGAGAGCCAATCCCAGGTGTTGAGAGGTATTATATAGTGTGATTCTTCCGAGTCCAACCTGTGAGGGAGGTTGCTGGAGGGAAGAAGAAGAGTCGAGTCTACAGGCTCGAGTTGCAGAGGTTTCCATATAACACTCACCCCTCCACCAGTGCATTTGCATCCTCTACCTTTATCACACAAGATGAGTAGATCTTCAGGCATGTTGCAACACTCTCTACCAAGATGGAGGCCCGCTTCTCTTAGATGAGGTCAGAGCTGGAGGCAAACATGGAGGTCAAGTTGAAGGCTAAGTTGGATTCCTCCCTGCAGTGGATGAGTGAGTGTGGAAAGACAACGACATCATTGGAGGAGGAAGCGTAGGAAGACGATGAGGATGAGGTTAACGAGATTGAGGAGGATGATTAGGAGAGACATTTTTTTATGTTTATGTACATTTGGACATATATTTTCCTATGAACAATGATGTACATATTTTAAAATAAATGTATTTATTCATTTCATTATTTGATTAGATAAACTATTGTTTGGCAACTATTTCATTTCATTAAATGCATGAAATTGCGTAATAAATGTTGTGATAGTAGGCATGGTAATGTAAATATGAAAGAAAGAATTTATTTTTTTCCTTATGCTACAAATATTTGACGATTTATCGTTAGTTTTGTGACGGCTCCCAACTTATCCGTAGACAAAACTGATGGCTAGCCAATGGACATTTATTACTGACGCCTAACCAACACATAACCACGACTTAAGGTGCGTCACATAAAAACGATGGGTGCGACATTTTTTTGATAGTTAACTCGTTAGCCATTAAAAAACGACACATAAACGAAGATTAACCAATAGTTTTTAATTGCGTCAAAAAATTGACAGGTGAGACACTTTTTCGAAAACCCATCGGTTATAGAAAACGACACATAAATGATGCATAACCGACGATTTTACTTAAAAAAACTGACTGGTGCGAAATTTTTTTGATGTGTATGTCATCACTATTACCGACGAAAGAAACGTCGGTTATATGAACTGACGATTACCGATTAGTCAAATTTTCTTAAAAAAGCCACAACATTAATTGTCGGATAACGGTTAGTAAATTTATATCGTCAGAATACCGATTGGTTTTCGAATTACCAACAAGGGTTTTTCCTACAAGCTTAAAACCTTCAGTAAACCATTAGTAACATTAAAAACGACGATTTTTCTTATCAAAACCGACAGATTGTGGCCGTTGGAAAAAACTTAAATTCTTGTAGTGTTTACCAATTATATCTTTCTTAAAATAATTAATGTAACCATTATTCATTGCTTGAATTTTCTTAAACTTTGTTGTGGTAATTCTTAGAGTGGATATACATCAAAATATAATCTTCTTTTTTATATTCTTTAATGTAATAATCACAGTTTGCTCTAGAGGGTATTTATCATTAATTGCAGCTCTTTATTTATTTATTTTTGCTTTTTTCTTTATGGAGGCTATGGAAGAGATTAAGAAATGTGAATAAAAATGAAATGACAAATTTGCTATACTTCATGAGCCTTGGCAATGAACCATCTTAAAATGGTGTGTTCATAGTTTTAGAAATAATATCATCATCATCATCATCAAGATTAACATCCAAAATATGCACTTTCATTTACTTATGGAGAGAAAAATTATTATCATTAAAAGTGGAAAAATATGTAATTATCATTAAAATATGGATAATCTTGAACATCATTAAAACAAAAATTCATCTTGTTTCACACTTTATTTAATTAGGCTTGGCCAATTTTTCCAAGCATGGTAATATTTGTGGGCGCCCTCTTATCTCTGTCCTCCATTCATAAAGGTTCAAATGTTGTAATGAACAGTAAAGTTTGAATTATCATTTAAAGTCTAGCATCTAATCATAATTTATATTCAATCAATTTGTGAATGGAATCAATCAATCTTGCAATAAACCATAAGACACAAGTATAAGAATCAATAAACTGGCCATTCTTTATGTAAAATTTATGTATATTTTTAATTTATTGTAAATGAAATAGAGATTTTGACATTAGTTAATAGCTTGATATTATAAAATAGACTTGGTTAAATTATGTTGTAGCATTACTTATATATAAAGTAAAATGTAGTGGTGGTTCTCCCCTTCATGAAGACTTTGTTAAGTCTTACAATAAAATTCTCTTTATAATCTTTCACATTATTCTTATGAATATTAAAAATACACTATCATATGCATTCCATTGTAATGTTGTCATGTGTTATTCTTTCCATTCTTATGTTTCCAATTAAGTGTAATTTTCCTACAATATGTTTAAGTATCACTCTTGGATTTACATAATTTCCTATGTTTTTATTTCATTTCATTATTATAATAAGTTTAGGGATTGAAAGCTCAATATGTTAATTAGAGAGTGTCAACTCTCCTTAAAAAATAATTTAGGAGAAAAAAGTATGTTAATTAATTAGAGAGCGTCAACTCTCCTTAAAAAATAATTTAGGAGAAAAAATTGATTTTTAATGTTGAGTTAGGGGTAGTAATCTTAGTAATCTTAATTCGCTTATGATCTCTTTATTTTTCTTCTTTTCTCCTTTATAGTTATGTGTTTTTTTCTTTTCCTTCTATTTTTCTTCTTATCACACAATACATTGTCAACGTACCACAAGCCTTTTAAACACTACGGATAGATTTTCTTAATGTGAATACCCAGGGGGGTGGGGGTGGGAGTATGATGCAACAAGTAGAATAATTTTATGGGAAATAGAAAATGTCCATATAAAAATTTTATAAATTTGATTGTTTCATGTTTCCATATCCATCAAAATGGATAAAACCTTGGTTAAAAATTTGTATTTTAATTAGTTAAATGAGGCTCAAAAACTAGATATGTAGTTTAAATCTCATTCTTGAACCAATGGTCCTACTTGAATCTTTCTCCCATCATAACCTCAATATACAAGCAATGGAAGGGATGATGCATGCATTATAATTTAAATAATGGAGAATTCATTGATACTAAGTTTTTTAATGGGCATTGGAAGGGACCATAGTAAAATCTCCATAAAAAATTTGAAATAAAATGCTTTATGACGTACCAATCACTCAATCTCTAAGATTGTTGAAGAAAAAGATGTGTATGAAATCATGATGAGAGCTTACGAGTTACGACAGATGATTGATGGTAAGTGACATGAAGTAGAAGAGTAGGACTTTATGGGAGCCATTTGTTTGTGGGCCATTGTGTATTATGGAATCACATACTTCTAGAATACACCAGAATGTTCTCATAATAAACTTCAAATTCCTCAAAAAAAAAATCATGAATTGATTTTTCAGCCATCAAATACCTAATTTTCAGCACCCTCACATTTAAAATGTGATACACTCAAAGTTTTTTCAATTAATTAGTCACTTGGTATATAAAAAAAAGGAAAATTTGACGCGAGAACATAAATTATTTAACTTTCTTTTTGAAGAAAGAATTGAAAGCTTGTTATAGAAGATACCAATTAAAAGAAAAATATGAATATAAAAATAATACAAATCTATAAGAAAAACTGTAATCATGTGTGATCTATGGAAAAGATCTCATTTAAGTCCGTCATGAAGGGTTAATATCAACAGGAATAAAGGAGTATTTGCAAAAAATCATTTCAAATAAATCTCACTTGTTTCAAAAGAAACGTCTCATATGAAGGAAAAAATATTACACCAGTACTACGCACGTAGAAGTAACTTGCGTAGCCAATGAAACCATGTCACGACATCCCGCGCGACAAGGAAAAAAAAAACGGCGCAGTAACATGGGGAATATTCATGTCACGACATCCCGCGCGACAAGAAAAAAAAAACGGCGCAGTAACACGGGGAATATTCTCCGGTGTTATTCATGTGTTATTGATGTGTTATTGTGTTATTATAGCACCAAGAATATTTTCAGGACACAATAACACATGAATAACACACAATAACACGAATATTCCCGACAGAGAAAAAAGAACGCAGTAACACGGGGGAATATTCTCCCCAGTGTTATTCATGTGTTATTGTGAACACAGTAACACGGGGGAATATTCTCTCCAGTGTTATTCATGTCTTATTGTGTGTTATTCATGTGTTATTCATGTGTTATTGATGTCTTATTGTGTTATTATAACACCAAAAATATTCTCAGGACACAATAACACATGAATAACATACAATAACACATGAATAACACCAGGGGAAAATTCCCCGTGTTACTGTGCTTTTTTTTCTCTGACATGCGGGGTGTCGTGGCGTGATTTCATTGGCTACGCACGTTACTCTATGTGCGTAGTACTGTGTAATATTTTTTCCGTATGAAGAGGCTCCAAATCTTAGTACATATAATAGAGACACTTAAATCTACTATTCAAACTAACAAAAAAAATAATGAATTAATGGAGTACAATATATATTTAATTTATTCAATTTAATATTTAGATTTATAAATCACATGAAAACATTAAAGTGTATGTATTAAAAGTATAGACATTATATGAGAAAAAAATGCAAATTAAAAATAGAAACTTTTATACATAAAAATATTAAAAATTAATAATGCTTTTGTACCTTAAAAATATTTAAAAAAATGTGGGTTGCTTTTAAGAAAAGAATAATATGCATACAACATATAATTTAGATATTGAGAATATACAAGTAAATTTATGAATTTAAATATCTGATATGTAAAATGCATAAAATTCTCCTTGACGGACTTAAATCTATGAAAAACAAACTACTGGCCCATGCTTCAACTATTTTTTGGAAAATTACACAAATAGCACTCAAAACATTATTTTTTACAAATATAGAAAGAGGGTTTAATACATTATTTGCTCTTTAACACATATTTTGATTATTTGAAAGCACTGAAAAGACCAAATATGAAGTGGCATCAAAACACTGGCAAACATCAACCAAATCCTCTTACCAGTGCAAGCATAGCAGTCCTGGAAATATCAACTATACAAAAAGATGTGCATGATACACATGTATGTTTTTCCAAAAATAAACATGTATGTATATGATCCGGTTTCGAGTATAATTGTAAAACTAAAGCAGTAATAGAAGAAACAAGGTTCAGGAAATATGTAAATACATTATATGAAAAAGATGCTCACACTAAAAAAAAAAATGGCAGCAATGCAGGTTCTGGACAAAGCAGTGTGGCGACGTGTAAAGAGTTGACATAAATACTTGATGACCGTAGAAGGTACCCAATTGCTATTCCAACGATCCAGATAAAAACAACGAAGAAAGTGGGGAAGCCAGCTTGAACTTTGGAAGCAGCTTTCCTTCTCAGAAGAATCTAAAACCAGAAAGATTATTAGTTTCAAGCCCACAAATCTCAAGAAATCAAGTATTGAAAACATAAAAGTAGAATTATTAGAGGTTATGAATCAAATAAGCCAAAAAAATGCTGCATAAAATTCCCGAAAAATCTCATACATAAAGGATGGAGGGTAGCTATTTTTGTTTTTCTTCATGTAATAAGAGACTCACTATTTCTTGCTGTGATAAGTCCCGGTCATTAATGCCCCCAGCCTTCTCTTCCCTCAACGTCGCGATCATCTTATCGGCCTGTAAGAGTTCCGAAGAAAAAGTTTAAGGAAATATAAAAAAACATTAAAGAGGCTCATAGGTAAATGAAGGGTGTCAGTATACTTGCTACATAGACATGGATTGGAACAACCCAAATTTAGATTCTTTTTACTTGACATTTTAATTTTATTGTGAATGTTTGAAGTGTAATTGAGTCGATTGACTCAATGTTATGATTGGGATAACACAATGCTACAGTATAATAATCAACCAACCTCAGCTAATTTGGATTGAAGGGTGTTCATCTTTGATTTCAAGTCCTCGGCATTCAGCCTGCGCACCAAGCATGTAAACAAGGCGTAAGCAGAAAGCATTGTAGATATTTTTAAGGAAATTTTTTATCCTCTGATTTTTCTTTTTTTTTTTTTTGTGTGTGTGCATGTGTGTCAAGGTTTGAGGTTGAGTGGATAGTATATTGGTTATACAAAGAAGCCAAAGCACAGTAATTAACTAACCTCTGATAATTTAGACTCGAGAACGGTTATCTTTGATTTTAACTCCTCAACCTCCTTAGCCTGCACCAAACAAGCAAACGAGGATTCATAAGACCTTCATTGCTCCGTATTAAATAGATACTTAAAAAATAATGACATATTAAATAAAAATAAAATAAAATAAAATTGATTATTTGTATGTGACTGATGATCATTGAGACGTGAAATTACACTAGTTCTAGTTTTTTATTATAATCATCATCATTGTTAGTCATATCCAAATTATTTTGGGATAGTTTTACTCAAACAAAATGAACACTATAAAAAAAGTTACATCATACAAAAATTCTGAATTAGTAATGTAGGGTATACAATCAATACATCATATCATATAAGTCCAACCATCACCCACAGGAAAAATAACACACATACCAAGAGACATTTCTGAAAAATAACGAGTGAAAGAAATGATGTTTCCAACATTATATTGGAAATGCCCGAATAAAATAACAACCAATGTAGCATACAGACGATTTCAATTGCCATTACAGTATAGCATTAACATGACAGAAAAACTAAAACATTGAAACAGAAAAATGACATGTCTTACATGAGATGGATCGAAGTTCTTATCATCTGAAAATTCATTTTTAAACGAGGATGCTTCTTTCACTATAGGAGATTCCTTAAAAACAGAAGCTGGCTTTAACCTAGGAGATTCATCTGCTGCCTCCTGTTTCGAAGCTCCATTAGAAGGTTGCAAAACTGGAGAATGTGGCGGGCTAACAAGGATAACCCTCAACTTGAATTCTTCAATAAAATTGCCACTTTCTTTCAAGAACTGCCAAAAAGGAAGATTTAGGTGCTAGATATGCCTATTAATAACTGTCAAATAATAAAAAAAGGAAGATTTACATACATTCCACTCAATTCATATGTATTTACATATCTGACACAAGCTTCAATTTTTACATATATGCCACCTTATCAATCCATGAAAAGATGTATTTCACTTTTTAGAAGTTAAAATAGTGATATTTTTGATGTAATATGAAAGATTTGGGTACTACAAAGGTAAAAAAAGTTTAGGTGCTAGATATGCCTATAGATAGGAATTGGATGGCATGTATGTAAATGCCTCAAAAGCCTAATAAAAAATATATATAGTTCTCACGGTGGTAGTTGTGATATCCTCATCAGTGCTTCCAAAAGGAACAACGGTGCTTTGTACAAGGAACTTGTCTTTCAGTTGCATGTCAGGTGGGGCAGAGCGCTGAGCTTGCATGGTAACTATTTCAGGTAAAAAAGAAACAATGTAAACAGAAAATGTCAAAAGGAATGATCATGATAATTGAGGCATAACACAACTTTAGCGACCAAGTTTCCACTGTAGTTAGAAGCATAGACATCAATAAAATAGCATGAAGTATACCTGTAAAATCACACGTTGATCGTGGCATTATAACACCTGTGTTGGGTCGTACACAATATCTCTTTGGAGAAGTGGTTTTAACCTGTAAATAGTAATAGTCAGGGTCAAATGCCATTATATTTTATAGCAATAGCTTCCTTGACAAGATATGAGCATTTTAATGAAAAAAGAACTGGAAAGAGCTCCAGAAAGTAGAAGAATCTGCAAAAAGCACAAAAAAGAAGGCAGACAATTTGGGTGGATTTAATTTTGGAGAAGATTTCTTCAGGCCGCAGAAAAAATGGCATTAAATTAACGTCAAAAGTCGGTGTCACACATTACCATCTACACACATCTAGTAACTACATTTGCTGCCTATTGGTGGAAATCTATCCATAAAGAGCTATCAACCCAATCATTAAAGATATTATTGGCTGCTCAAAAGAGAAACAATAATGCATAGCATGATGCAAGTGGAAAAATGAGGAAGACGGTACAGATATAAATGACAATAACGGCTTGTAAATAGCAACGGTAGAGGCTATTAAGAAGAGGATGATCTAAAGAAAGTTTCACAAGATATGCTTTATTGTTGCCTACAGAAATATGCGAAAGGAATTGAACTTTGATATGAATCTCTGTTCAGAGCAACAAATTCTTAATTACAAGCTCACATGAATAATACAAATAAAATAAGAAAAGAAAAACAAATTACTAGAAGAGAATATAACCTTGAATGCTACATATTCATTGGATTTGTTGGAAAGTCGCACCGAACATGAACTTTGTTTCTTCAGCTCAACTAGCAGTAGAAAACATGAAGTTAGATTACAACAGTGTCAAGATCATGGCCGCCATTAGCATTCTATTATATGTCCACCATGAGTATAAAAAAAACAAAGCAAACAGCAATAAAAACAGTAAATTATAGTAAGTTACAAAAATGGTTCCCCTCTTCAGAGGAAACAACATGAAACTTCAGGAGAGATTAATTCAAAAAACAACCAGGGAATCAACATGATTGCAGCACTGTAGCATAAGCAAAAGTTTTAGTCGATTCAACACTAGATTATTTAAGAAACTTGTAAGCTCAATCTTTTCAAACAGCTAGTTAACTACAGTGTATAAATACTCCTTAAAATCTATTGGTTAATTTCAAGATTTTCTAGGGTACTTCTAGCTTTAGAAATACTTTTTTAATTAGTGAATACAGCAGATCATTTCCAAGAAATAAGCAGTTCGATGGGCATGCAAATAAATCGTCATAATTACTAATTTTCAATAATATATGCGAAGACATTTCAAAAATAAACAATTAGAAGATTTACTTAAGTATTATATGGGATAGCATGTTTCATACATTCACGAAAAATTGAGGTCAACACATACATGGATACAAGGGAATTTATAGACATAACATTTGACTCGTCAATTTTTGTTTTTCTCATCATCCTTGGCTATCTCTTGGACAATTCTTAGCATTTTCACTATAGATGTTGGTAAAAATTTTCTACAGCCATTAATAAAAAATACCATTCAAGCTAAAAAAAATATTGGGAATCAAACTTGTTTTAGATTCGCATTACACCTTTGAATTAGTCCCAGTCATCATTCTCATTCTTAAATACTTGGAAACCTGAGTTTTGTGCTTCACCATATGATGATTAATTGTGGACTACCTTTAAATTTGTATGATACAACTTTTAGTTGATAAGTTTTTTTTTTTTTTTTACTAAATTTGAAAATAGACTTATATGAGGTGGAAATTTATAATGAACGGTTGAAACTAAATGATTAGACAAACTGAAGAAATTAATGTCAGGAAATAGTAAAGAGAAAAGGTTGATTTATGGTAACATGGACAGAACTTCTTGAAAATGATTTGGGAAGATAAAGTAACACCTCAGACAGTACTGAATAATAATAGATGTAAAATGATGATTCATAGTGGCTAAATTTAGAAATATTTGGTATAAGAATGATAATGATAATGAAGAAGGACCTCAGTGACTTCCCAGTCTATCCTATGATTTAAAGTATTTGGGTTTGGCTTTATGAATGCACTTTTTATTTCTAGAGTGTTATCTATGTTAAAATTTATATGTGCAGATAACATGTCCTATTCATATTATATCCCTACATTTTCAACATTTCCATGTTGTGAAATACATCTCATCTTCTGTCAAATCCACAAATTGATGTTTGTGCTTCATAGATGATGATTTTCCTTCTCAAAAGAAGTTTATTGGCTTTCAGTTGCACGAGACGAATAGATACTTCCAGATGCTTCTCTCAAAACAATGACTGGAAGTTAATGGAAAAAGTGAATGACGAGAGATAGAATAAGCAAAAACAGTGTAGAACCTTAATTAGAAAAAATTTATGATGTTTGGACCTCTGTAGAAATTATAATTATTTTCAGTAGCTGCAGTCATAACATTGAGTTTGGTTGCATTTTGAGTGAATATAATCAGATTTTGCCCACAATTGGGTTGTGGAGCTCTTTGGTGATTAGAATAATCACTTGTAGCTTTAATAGCTTTAATAGTGAATTTGCCATTTGGAACAAAATTCAAATATAAGATATTCTTTAAAAAGCTTAATTACTTAAAAGGAAACCATGAAATGATTGAACTTGATATGAGATTCTTATCTTAGATTTTTGAAAGCTTGTGAGCGGGTTAAAAGCTGGATTTACTTGACTTGGATTGATTTGAATAGGTTTGAGTTTGATTTTTTTTTTCTTAATTTTAATTTTTTTATTTTAATTTTCTTAATTTTTATTATTATATTTTTTGGTCTCATATAACAATGTCTTGGATATAAAAGGGCATTATAAGAATTTTTCTTAAGATTTTCATGCATCACTCAAGATGCTGGTGTTATTTTGAGCTAATAGGTTAGGTCCAACAACAACAACAAAAAAGCCTCAATCCCACTATGTGGGGTCGACTACATGAATCCTTTTTCTCCATTGCGTCCTATTTAATGCATATTTTCATTTAATTCTAATAAATTAAGATCATTTTTTATACAATAAGCCCAAGTCTTCCTAGGTCTACCTCTACCTTTCTTAACATAAGTCGAATCTAAAACATCTACTCTCCTAATTGGATCATCAGATGGTCGACACTTAATCTTAATGTGACCAAACCAAACCATCTAAGACGACTTTCTCTTATTTTGTATGTCACAAAAGCTACACCAATCCCATCACGGATATATTCATTTTGCATTTTGTCTCTAAGTGTAAAGTTACTCATCCACCTAATCATTCTCATGTCAGCAACATTTAACTTAGTATTATGCTTCTCTTTTAAAAGCCAACATTCAACGCCATAAAGCATTGCAGGTCTCACCACCGTCTTATAAAATTTTCCTTTCAGTCTAAGCGGTACTTTTCTATCACACAAAAGACCTGAAGCATTCCTCCACTTCAACCAACCAACTTGAATTCTACTATTAACATCCCCACCACTTTGAACAATCGACCCACGATATCAAACGTTCACACCTTTTAATAATTTGATCGTCAGAAGTTACAACTTTATCACTATTAGAGTTACTACTAAAATTACAATCCATGTATTCAGTTTTAGTTCTACTCAAATGAAAGCTTTAAGACTCCAATGTAGACCTCCATAATTCAAGTTCTTTCTGGGCTTTTTCTCTCGTCTTATCCACGAGAAGGATATCATCAGCAAAAAACATACACCTAGGTATATCCTCCTGTATAGGGCTGTCAAAAAAGCTCGTTGTTCGCGAACAGTTCGTGTTCGGTTCGTCAATGAGTTCGTGTTTGATTCGTTCGATAAGTAAACGAGACAAACGCGAACAAATTTTTTTCGTTTGGTTAGTTCAACGAATCAAACACGAACAGTGATGCGTTCGTTCGTGTTCAAATCGTTATTGTTTGAAATATAAAATAATATAAAATAATTATATATAAAAAATTTATTATATTTTAAAACATTCAACTCTAGTATACATATCTTTAATGACTTGAATGTAACTCATATCAACACTTTTCTTCTCTAGAACTCTCCAAAGCATATCTCTTCAAATCTTATCGTAATATTTCTCCAAATCAATAAAATTAATATGTAGATCCTCCTTATTCTCTCTGTACTTCTCCATCAAATCTCTCAAAAATTGTATAACTTCCATAGTAGACTTGTCCAGCATAAATCCAAATTGATTATGAGAAATCTTTGTAATACGTCTTAACCTATGTTCAATTACCCTTTCCCATAATTTTACATAATGACACATCAACTTAATTCCTCTATAATTTGCACACTCTTGTGCATCCCCTTTATTCTTAAAAATGAGGACCAAAATACTCTTCCTCCACTCCTCGGACATCTTTTTAGTTTTTAAAATAATATTAAAGAGTTTAGTAAGTCAAGAAACTCTCAAATCTCCTAAACATTTCCATTCTTCAATTGGCATATCATTAGGTCCTATAAATTTTCCACCCTTGGATTTCTTTAAAGCCTACCAACTGCTTTTTTACTAATGCGGCGGCAAAAATGAAATGTTTTATTATTATTAACGATATTAACATCACTATGGTCGATCGTATTTTCAGAAACTTCATTGAAAGATTTATCAGATTAGCCCACTCACCTATTTTGAATATCTTCTTTTATTGAATATATTTTTCTAAGAAAAATACTTTTTGATTTTCATATTTAATAATCAGTTTTAATACACTTTACTTGAGTTAAATCATTACACTTTCCTTTTCTCTATATTTGTCTAATTTATACATATATTTTTCACTCTCCTTAGTATTTAATCTATTATAAAGATCATTAAAAACAGAATTAGCATCACATATTGTTCTTTTAGACTCCCCGCGGCCGTTTGATATTTTTTTCAGTTCTCTAAATTTTTACATTTAAGCAATTTTTTATAACATAACTTATATTTTTTCTTCTTTTGCAGATTATTATTCCACCATCAACTATTTTTATTTAAAGAAATTTTTTCTTTTGATTCTCCAAGTACATCTTTTACTACTTGTTTAAAGTGTTTGTTACTTTATCCCACATAATATTTACTTCATCATAAACATCCCAAATTTTAAAATCTTGAATTTTATTCATAAAAATAATTTTATTTGTCTTTTAGGTTCCCCCATCTAATTCTACGATGATGAGTCCTAGCATCTTTATTTTACAACTCTTTATCTTAAAATCAAGAACTAATAGACGATGTTGGGTACCTAAATACTCACTAGGAATAAGGAATCTTACAATCTTTACAATCTCGACGATCTTTTCTTCTCATTAGAAAATAATCAATTTGTGTTTAATTAAAGTCATTCTTATAAGTAATAAGATGTTCATCTCTTTTCTTAAATAAAGTATTAGTAATAACAAAATCAATTTAAATATAATGAACTCAAATCAGCTTATTTATTAAACAAATAAAAAAGTATAACCAAAGCCCAACTCGATTAATCACGATAAAATGACATAACAAACACCTAATATATGTAAGGTGAATGTCAAATCAACCTTAAATAGACATGACTATCTAATTTGGACAGGACACCAACAACAACAACAAACCTCTATTTGAGTCGGCAACATTAATCCTTTATCATCATTGCATCCTATTAAGTGTCTTATTTTCAATCAATTCTAATAGATTAAGATCATTTTTTATACAATATGTCCAAGTCTTTTTAAGTCTACCTCTATCTTTCTTAACATAAGTCAAATCAAAAACATCTTCTCTCCTAACTAGATCATCAAATGGTTGACGTTTAATGTGAACAAACCATCTAAGACG